TTTTTTTTTTTTTTTTTTTTTTTTTTTTTTTTTTTTTGCAGTAGGTCGGACAACCCCTGTCCGGTTGGACGTCGGACCAGACGTCCGGTCGGACATCCCGGACGGTCAGGGGGGTCCCGAACGTCCGATCCAACAACCTAGAAAATTCAAAATTCCTAAATTCCTATCTAATGCGAAAATGCAAAAAACACAAATTCCGGAAAGAAAGTGTGAAGTTTCGAGAGCCATCAAGATTCGACAAGATTCAAAAAGAACGAAGCAAAATTCCCGCGCGACCTCCGCGCCTAAGACCCGACAACAAAACAAGAAAGAAGCGACTTCAAACATTATTATTCGCGCCTTTGTCGGCGCGACAGCCACTCAATCGGCCATCTCGGGACTTGCCCGGCCCTGAACCCAGCCATTCGAAAAGAAGCGACGAAAAAGAAAAGACGAAGAAGCGAGGACACCGATGCAATTTCCCTTTGATCTCGATCTCCCGTAATTGGCCCAACCTTCCCATCTTAGGACCCCTCGTTGTCGTCGCGCAGAAAATCGCGTGGAACCGAAATTGGTTCGTCACATATGTGACGCCCAGGGGGTTCCAATCTTAAGCAAGCTCCTGCTTGCTTGAATTATGACACATGTCGATCTCTCTAATTGATCGACACGTGGAGCCTCGTTCGTTGCCACTTACCGTTCGATAAGAATGTGGACGTCATCAAGGGTGGTACACGTGGCTCTATCCTACAGTTTCCTCAGGATGGGCTCTCTTCGGTCCAAGGAGGGGATCGTGCGTGCCATCGCCGTGGCACGTGCCAATCAAACGTGCATCAATGACCTAAGGGAAGGGGAAAGGGAAGACGATACATGGGGGCATGGCGAGGGGGTGGGTTAGTCGGGAGTGGGGGTAGAAAGCGTTCCATCCCTGCGACTGTCACCGGAAGCTCTTGATATCGGATGATCCCGTGGAAGCGAGGGAATCGATTACCACTATGAGGGAGGGAGGCGAGATAGTCAGGGTAAAGGGTGGTGAAAGTTCGAAAAAGTGTCGTGCGGAAGTGATTGTGGTTTTCGCATGCGGGGTAGTCCCCGTGATCATGTAGTAACCTCGACGATGTTGTGGCCTCGCCACGCGGCACTGAAGAAGACAAAAGATAGGGGTGGCACACCGGGTAGAGGGGTGGGGATGAACCGTGACAGCAAGATGAGTGGCGTAGAAAAAGCGGAAGGTGTCGATTGGGAAGGGATTGCAGGGGAAGGTGATGCGGGTAGTGATCTGGCGGAGGGTGAGGTGGTCAAGGGGACGATGGGATAAGGACCGGGGACGAAGCCCGATGCCCCGCATCGGTACGAGCTCGAACTGGTGGACGGGCGAAGGTGGAGGGGGAGGGGGATCGGCTTCGTCGCCGTCGGGCCGGTGCGCTCGAAGTCTCGGCAGCTAGGTCCCCATCGTCGTTCTTGGGCGGCTCGGGATCCTTGGCTGGGTCGTTCGGGATAGGCAGATCCACTCCGCTTGCGAACTCCAACGGCTGCTTCTTGGCTGCTATCTCCTCTCTCCTTCGCGCCGCCTCGGGATCCTCCTCTTGAGTCTCTGCACGGTCCGCTTCTTCACCCAAAGTCTCCCACTCAGATTCCTCCTCTTCCTCCAACTGCTCCTCCTCTTCTCCTTTTTCTTCCTCTTCACCCGACTCTTCCTCGCTGTATTCACTGTAACTCCCCGCTTCTTCCGAGGTTTTCTCTTCTTCCTCCTCGTTGCCTTCCTCTACGACCTCTTCTTCTTCCTCCTCTAGTGTTAGCCTTCTGTCTTCAGAGGCAGTTCGAGGCTGAAAGAAGGCGAGGTCGATTATCCTCCGCAGGTCCAGGTACACTCGTTGCGATGGCAGGTTGCTGTTACCTCCCTGCAACTCGAGGCAGGCCGACCACTGTAGGTAGGGCGTCAGAGTTTGTGAAAGGATGTGCGGGACCGGACTTTCATCGCACTGCGAAACGTTATCGAGAGGGAGGTCGTCGACCAGCTGCGCGAAGGGAATCGTGAGCTCCTGTATGATCAGTTGTCGATGGCCGGGCCGCACCGATCCGGATAGAAATCCGAGAAGGTCTCCTTCCATCTCCGTCCTCCAAGCTTGGATGATCAACAGATCCACGTATTCAGTCCAGGCACGGTGTTCTATGCCCCTTGTCCACGTCAGCTGCACCCCGACCAAACACACTGAAAGATCGACGAAGTGCTCGCACCACAGTTCCCACTGTCTTCGGTCGAGGAGGGGGACAGCAAGTGGCTCCAAACGAAAGGAGAGACAGGGGCAAAGGTCAGACTGCCAGAAGGTAGGGAAGAGAGAGGGGAGAGCGAAGGTAGAGAGTTGGGAGCGGTTCATTGAGGACGCTGGAAGCGAACGAGCTCCAGAAGCACCACCATCGGCTCGTGCCGAGACGTTCGGAGCCCTCCGACGTCGATGCCGTCTGTGGGGACAAGATTGTCGCCGCAGCGCATAAGCCACTAATTCCACTCCGTTGCCAGTTGCTGACTCCACTCCCTCAGCGACGTCCGGATGGCCGTGTGTCGTAGAGGGCTGATCGCACTAATATCACCGTTGAAGAGGACAACGGTAGACACATGGCTAACTCCTCGTGCTGACAACCCTCGAACCGTCGTCGCTTCTGCCAACAGGATCGTTTGACGATGGCCCGTAAATCGAAACTCTACCGCCACGTACACTCCCATGGTACAGAAGAACCACGCGAGTCGAAGAAGATCCGGACTGAATCGCGGGTGATGGACTTGCCGAATTGCTGAAATGTCGCTGTGTGGCGCCAGCATGTGATCGCCGAGAGCCCGCTCAATGAGAAAACTCATGGGGATGGCGATGGGGACGAGGTATGAGAAGGGTCGATAGATGCAGGAGGGGATAAAGCGATAAAGAGTCGTCATCCTCTTCCGTAGCGAAGGAGGAAGCAGACACAGCTGGAGATGGAGAGGAAGGGAGAGGACGTAGATACGACACGTGGCGGATGATCGGTCGAGTCGATCGGCTTCCCACCTCCGGTACGAGGCGCACGGTGTTCACCCCGTTCGGTCAGAGTTCGATCACATGAAATCGCCCGTAGAATCGTGGCGCTATCTTCCCTTGGCGAGCACATTTCCTCACCTGCACCAGGTCCCCTAATTTATACTGGGGCCGTGGTCCTGCGTTCCCATTTCGGGCCTCGTAGCTACAGATCTGTCCCGTGGGCCAACTCAGTCATTTTCTGGCGCTTTCGGGCTAATCGGGGGAGGGACCGCTCCATCAACTCCATGTGCCGCTTGGCCTTGTCCCGAACCGTGGCCCTTGTGGGCCGTCGGTTCAATGAAGATTCATTAAGGCGACTTGGAATCGAGACACAAGCTACGCTATTGGTTCGTAATTGGAAGGGGCTAAGGTCCGTCGATTCGTGAGGCATTCCCCGATGGACCGCCAGGATGTGATCTACGATATCAGGCCAGGGTCTCGGAACTCGTGTCGCGATGTTTCCTCGCAATGTTGTCTTTATCACCCGATTTGCATTTTCTACCAGGCTGTTAGACTGTGACATGTGGGGTGCAGTATTCCGAATGGCGACGCCATGTACGACCAGATTCCTTAAAACTTCCCCTCTGAATTTTACCCGATTGTCGGTCAGGATTTCCTCTGTGTCCTGGTGCATCCCTAGAAACCGGTTGAAGTATCGCGCAATTTCAACCGCATGTCGTGTACGACACGGGTATGCCTCAATCCATTTCGAAAAGTGGTCTACGAATACTAGGATTGAATACTCGCAGCTATTAGGTCTAGGGGGCACCACACTATCGGTAGTATTCATGCTAACCCTTTGAAAAGGTCGTTCAACTACCGTCGGTACTATCGATCTTGGCGGTTGGATCGGCGCCTTGTCAACAGCGCAGACCTGGCAGTTCGCGACGATGAATTTCACATCATCGCGAATATTTGACCAATACCATTCATTCTTGTCGATTGTCGCTTCCGTGATCCGTACAGCAAAATGGGCTGCAGTTTCCTCATGCGTCGTCTTAACCCAGTCATAACTCATGAACGGGTGCGGCACTACCATCCAAATCCCGCTACCATCCGTCTTTCGTTTTTCTAACCGACCCTCATTCCAGCGATAGTCCCTAGCCCTTTCATTGGCCCTCCTCCGGTCTCCCTTAGTGAAGTCCTGGAGGGGGTTTCCTACCAAGGTGGCAATTAGAGCGATGTTCGTCCATACCTCGGCCCTTCTAAACTTCCGGGTCTTTTCCAACCCTTCTGGCGTGGCGTCGAGAAATCGAGCCTCAGTCGGGATCTTATCAACCCGACACAGGGGACACAACCAAGGTTTATCGCCAATTTTGTACTGGATGCATGAGCCATGGGCTCGTGCGACACACTGTCGACAATCTATCCATTTTGCATACCCTTCCCCAATAGGACGCATAGGGATCGACTAGACGCGCGAGATCGCTTCACAAAAATAACAAAATTTGTCGGGTAGGGAGAGGAAAGATGGAGATGAGAGGGGAGAGAGAGGAGTTGTAGGATTACCTCCGTCACCCATTGCCAATCGCCTGCTTCTTGCCACGTGGAAGGACTGCCACTTGTCCGTACTTGGGTCCGTTGGTTGACTCTGGCTCCTTTCACGGAATGATTTCTTCACCCTTAGGTACCTTACGATGCAGACGTATCAACCCGTCCGCGTTGCCGTGTCTCTCTGTCTTTCGATGGATTCTTGTAGGCGCACCGCCCACCGTCCAATCATACCTGTGTAATTAGTGAGTTTCTTGAGAGCCAATAATGGCTCGTGATCGGTTACAAGGAGGAACTTCTGTTCGTACAAGTACGGATGGAAGTGTTGGATTCCCCAGACTACGACATAGCATTCACCTTGCGGGGTTGAATCGTTCCTTCGTTCATCTGGCACCGTACGGGATGCGTATTCGATGACGTGCTCTCGGTCGCCGTTCCCCTTCTGCGCTAGAATAGCGGAAATCGCCTCTGGCTGCCAGTCCGTGATAAAAATGAACTGCTTCGTGGGGTCCGGCCGGATCAAAATAGGTGTTGTCGCCAGAGCGTCTTTGAGGGTGGCGAAGGCCTGTTCGCACTTTGCGTCCAAACTGAGGGGCTGGTCCTTTCGTAGCAGATTCCTCAGAGGTCGCGCAATCGCAGCGAAGCCTTTGATAAAACGACAGTAGTACGATGCTAGTCCCAGGAAAGCTCGAACCTGCGTCACTGACGTGGGGACGGGAGCATTTTTCACCGCCGCGACTTTCCTTGAATCTGGTCGCTGTCCTCCACGTGTCACCACGTAACCCAAGAATGAGATTTCCGAGAGGGAAAACTCGTTTTTCTCGAGCGCGATCTTGAGCCCGGCGTCGCTCAGAGCTCCCAGTGTCCATTCCATGTGTTGTGCATGCCCGTGAAAGGTCTCCGAGTAGACGAGGATGTCGTCCATATACACGATGACGCAGAAGTTAATCATCCCCTGAGTGAGCCGCGTCTTGTTGACGAAGTTCCGGAACGTCACGTTCATAGCCCGTTGAAATGTGGCAGGCACGTTGCAAATCCCCATCAGACATTGAACCCACTGCCACGTGCCTTCAAATAGTACGAAGGTCGTTTTCGACCGATCTTTCTCCTTAATCAGGATGTGATGAAAACACTGGCGAATATCAAATTTACTGAAATAATTAGCACATCCAATCGCATCCAGCAAATCATCAATCCTGGGAAGGGGGTACACATCTTTGATCGTGATGTCATTCAACTTGCGATAATCAATGCATATGCGAATCGATCCGTTCTTCTTTGGCACTAATACTACCGGGAACGACCATGGCCCAGTGGCGGGTTCGATCCAACCATTAGCTTCGAATTCTCGAATCCGCTCGAGGGCCGTTTTTCGTTCTACCAGGTAGTATGTGTAGGGCTTACAGTGAATCGGGGGATGGTTTCCGGTTTGAATCTTGTGCTGTATGACTAACGACAGTCCAATGTCTGTGTCCGTCAGACTAATCGCTCCCTTGTATTCTTTTAGAATTTCCACAATTAGATGATGGATCTCATCAGGTGCGTATTGGGGCACGTGCAACTCGTACAACTCATCCCATAACCGTACATCGATGTGTTTTGTACTCACCCGCTTAGTGTTTTCGGGCGGGGGCACGAAAATAAACGAATTGTCCGATCGCCAGGAGAATACCGTGGCCATCATCTGTGCATCCTGTTCTCGAATGGCCACGTGTTCTTCCGGTGTTATTCCGTCTCGAATGTCCTGCCAAGGCACTGGTTTCGTTGCGATTTTAATTCCGAGCCCAGTTTCAAGGCGCTCAGGGGGTTTTAAAGAATTGGTCTCTGCCCCTAAACGTATCAATCGTATCTCTTTTGCAAATGTCAAAAAAGATTGTGGAAGATTCGTCATGTCGCAGTAGTGCCTTTGTCATTATATCGTGCGAGTAAAAGGGAGATACCTTCGTACAGGGTTCGAGGGGGTTCCAAAGAATCGACCATCCTCGAAATTTGCACGAGGGGTTCACCAATAATCATGGCTTGCGTTTTCTGTAGACTCTGATAAGTGATCTTGTGTTTACTCATTGCACAGGGTAATAGATACGTTGTTGCACCATTTTCAGAATTATTGGATCGTCCTCGTCACTGATGTCCGCGTCCTTCAGAGATTGTTCACCGTCAGCAGAGTTATCCCAGGTAATCACGCGGAGAGTTCCCACCATCATGGGCGAAACTCGCGGGGTTACGTTAGCCATAGTTCGAAGAGCCAGTCTCATAGGTACAACATAGGGCTTCTCTCCTGTATTACGGAGGACAATGGATCGCCTTTTGAAGTCCAGATTGGCGCGCAAGGCCACAAGAGCGGGAAGGCCAAAAAGGACGTCGTAAGTGTTTACGTCTAAAACTATGACATCTCCCAAGGCATGTATTTTTTCGAAAAGCAACATTGGTCATCCATCCTACTGTTTTAATCTTTTCTTCATCTGTTGAAACGAGCTGATCTTTTTCCGTAAGCATAATTACATCGTTCTTTCTTCCTGCTCTTTCAACTACTCGTAATGAGATAGCTAGGACAATGACCTCGGAATCAATAATAACATTGTACGGGATTGCCCATACCTCAATATCGCATTCTGCGGATTTCCATGGCATTGGTTTAATCCGTACGAAATTATCATTTTTTTTTTAATCAATCCTAACCGTATCAGGTCTGAAGTACCTACTGCATTTTCATCTAGCGTGGAATTTTTCGTTTTTGTACTCGCTGTTCGGGCAAGGGTGAATAGTTTTTTATTCGCTTTGCAATGTTGCATCATTCGTTCGTTGGCTTGTTGCGATATCGAAAGTAGATGACCAATCGGAAGAGGAATCCGACAATCCAAGGCTCAGACGATGTTGAGAACGCCGATTTCCCCCGTGACAAAAGTGGGTCCACTTGACTCCATTTCCCCTGAAGAAGGTCGCCATTCCGCCACTTCCATTTGTTCTGGCGCGGGTCTAAGAATTCCAATCATCCCAAGCCCCGGGTAACCAAGCATTGCATACTGATCCAACGGGATTAGTTCAACAGCTTCCTCCATCGTAGCTAATGTGCTTCCACCTCCTTCCATTGCTTCCATCAATGCTCCTACTCGTCCAAATCCGTTGGCGATCAGGGTCGCTGCTACCGGTGCGGCTCCGACTCGTTGCTGCGGGGGTCGATGGGGGCAATCTCGGGCTATGTGCCCTGGCTGGTGACATGTGTAACAAACATTCAAATTGCCAGGGACCCCTGCGGGAGGGGGTGTCGGAGCCAATCCATGTTGAATCAGGGCGGCACGCACCGCTATTGGTCGCATCGACCTCATCATTGCCTCTATTCGAGCGTTGTGCTCCCGCTGTTCCTTTTTGCTTTCCTGAATCAGATTGACCAGTGTTTTGGTTAGTTCCAATAGGGCGGAAGACTCATTCGGTCCTGCGGGGGTTTCGGTCGGACGCGGGGGTGCTGTCATCACGGGCACGAGCATGCTCGTAATCACACTCGGGACCGGTCGTTTGGCCCGACGCAAACCCCATGTTTTCAAATTTGTTCTGTAGTGCAGCCAACTCAGCTTTAGCTCTCGCTAGTTCGGACGAGTCTCCTTCCCTAGGATAGTCTTCTCCTTCTAGGAAACTCGCAGCGAACTTTCGTTTCATTTCCTTTGTCGCTGCCATGATCTGTTGCAGCGTGTGATTGATGGGGGAGAACTGTTTTCGCAGTTTCGCCCTCATCGTTCTGCTGCGGAGCCCATCGATAAACAAATCTCTGCCTACCTGTTCGCCTCGTTCCGTTTTCACAAACATCCTATAGAATCGGTTTCGATTCTCGGTGACAGATTCGAGGGGTTTTTGAATTTGATCTTTAATCATAAAAAGAGTCTGTTCCGGGTCGATGTAATCGAATCGATTCAAGAAATCTCGCTCGAATGTCGGGAGGTCGACCCATACATAGGCAATGAATCCCCGTCGGCGACGGCCAAGCGCGGCCGAATCCGCGGACTCGGCCAGGCCGTCGACTACGTGGACGCGCGGCTTTGAAGCCACGTGGCGGCCAGTGGGGAGGGGGGTTGGGGATTCGGGAAGCGCCATGGGGCAGCGCAACCCCAGCCCCACCCTCTCGAACAAAAAAAAATAAAAAATAAAACAAATTTTTGGTTGGGGGGTTTC